TGAACCCGAAACCATAAATCCCGGGATGTTGTCAGAAGAAACGAGAAACTCCACCGGCAGTTCCTCCACATATTCCCTACATCATCCCAGGGGCGAACCTTTGTTCCTGACAACATCCCAGGGTTTAGGTGTTAGGATTTTGGGTGTACGGAATTTCAATCCAAAAGCCCCCAACGCGTAGCTGCACAATCCAAGGCTGCTGCTAGCCTCCGTTGAAGCGGCTTCGGAAGCCGAAGGCCATGGAGGAAGCAGCAGGTCATCGCAACACTGCTAGAAGAGGGCTGCGGTTTTGAGGGTTAGGGGTTAGGGCCATGGTGCATAGGACAAACAACCGAACAAGCGTGGTTGGGAGCGGTTATGAGAATGGTAAGGAAGCTGCAGTTCTGACAGTGGATAACACATTCACGTAGGTCAGGGACACGGGACTTCCACGAAACAATGGTGCTTTCAGGTGTTGCTCATTTGTGGCACTTGTACCTGCCAAAGGTGGACCGCTTTGCTGGGACGTATGCACTTCTCGGAGCTTCAATCCTTGCACTGGAGCGAACACCCACATGACACATTGCGCGCTAACGTGCTCCAGCAGCTATTCTGTTGTTGCCTTGAACGCCAGTTCTGACGCTTGAGTGTTGGGTCAGCCAAGCAGAGAACTTCCCAGGAGCGCGCACATGGGATCTTTGCAGCACTGTAGGGAATACCCGGCCTCCTGATAAATTGACAACTTAGATCCCCTATATAAACCCATAATGACCCTACGCGACCCCTGTGTAATTCCACATTTATTCTGGGGGATCTCTTTTTGAGACCCATTTGAGCGTCTGGGTAGTATGAGCAACAGATATGATATGATAGAAGGACATTTATGGTCTTCCATTGACCACTCCGTGCATACACTCAGCAAGGTTCTGAGGCATCCTACATACCCTCACCAAAAACATGGTAACCACCTGGTCTCACACACCTACACGAACCAGAGTACTTGCCAGGAAAGCCCGTAATCATCTAGACTCTAGACCAGTATCTTAAATAGTATTTGAAATTTTTGCTGGGGATTATGCTACAATGGAAATTCCTGAACCTTAAACCCTGAATTCCCTAGGGGATACATGGGAGGAGCTGTTATATGCGAGCAGCTTTCCACCCTAAACCCTATACCTTAAACCCTTACCCTAAGCCCGATAGAATATTGAGGTTATATTGGGGTTATTTTGGGATAGTGGAAAAGAAAACGGAAACTACTATTTAGGGTTTAGGGTATAGTCCCCCTTAAGTAGATGCAATATGGCTTTGGGTATGTTGTATTAAGAATCCATATACCCCATATTCTATCTACTTAAGGGGACTGGAAAGCTGAAACCCTAAACCCTAAGCCCTCAGAGCTTTCAAACGTCCTGCTGGTTGGCCACCCAGAGCTGCGCAAACTCAAACAGACGCCTGGGAAGGGAGCGTTAATCAAAAAGCTGCGCCTCTCATAGGGTTTAGGGTTATGTTATATGGGGGTATAGGTATATAGGGATATTATCCCAATAATTGAGACTGAAATGCGAAAGCGATTGGATAACTGAAATGGAAACACGCTGTCTATATGGGTAGTACGGTCTGGGGTTATGATTATGTACTGTAGAGGTCTAAATACGTACCAATATGATCATCAGGTCCACGTGATGCAGCCTAGACCGTATTGAAGAAATCTAGGACCATAATATTGATAGTCATTCAAGCTTCTACAGTGTACGCCCAGAATGATGGTATCTTTTCGAACCAGACGCCCAACACCTTGGCTTGCTGTTGAAGAATGGAAGTTAGCTACCACTATAAATATAAGGAAGCCCTAACTTGTGCTACATATCCGTAGTAACCAGGACCTTCCTTGTACCCTTAATTGGGGATATATGGTCCCTAAAGGGTCTAGGCTAAGACCTAAATGGGTGGTTGTCAAAATTATGGTCCCTTTTTGGGTCCCTATTATAATAAGGTAACTGAATTTGTGTAAGTTCCTAAGCAGCAACTCAGATTCGCAGAAGGTATGCAGTGCAGATTCAACCAGGGATTTTGCGTAGGAAAGCGACCCACGGATTGACGCGGTTTAGGGCTTAAGGTTTAGGGTTTCGGGGCGATCAGCTTGGCCATGCTCAGCTTGCAGCAATGTTGAAGCATCTTCTATGCTATGATGCCACAAGTATGAACACTAAACCCTCAACCCTACTGCAAATGCAGTAATTACATTATTGGGGCTACATAGGATGGTGCAAGACTTGCTGCATCCACCCTATGGCTCTGGTCTCTTGAGATAACATAACCCAATAGAACCCCAATATGACCCTCATATAACCCTGATATAACGCCAAAATAACCCATGCCAGGATGGCGGGACACCGTACTGATCAGCAAAGCACATGAGGTCGACAGAGTTTGACCTGCGAGGAGTCTTGGATAAAAGTTTTGGGCTGTAGGATTCAGATGCTGTGTCTGCCCAACAGCATGAGCAGTCCCTTGCAGCAGAGAGGAACTGTTTCTGAGTTGCATCTGCCAGAGTCGGCTGGGCTCAATGGATCACCTCCATGCAAGGTCTTTGGCTCAGGCAGTCGTGCCCAAGCTACCCATTGAGCAGATCCCAGCCAGAGCTTGGAAAACTTTCCCCTAAACCCCTAGCCCCTAAGCCCTGATCGTTGGAGAGCTGTGTTTTGGGTCCTTCTCTGCCTCCCGCCGCAATCACCGGAAGGATATGATCTTTCAAGCAGCTTGGGGAGCTGTATGTACGCCAGACATAAGACACAGGAGTGACCCATCAGTTTGGAACCCCAGTGAACTTACAAAACAAGTGAGTAGTGTTTGTTTTTGGTGGGTGAGCCTAGTAAGATTATATTCCTTATATTAAATACTATACCCCAAAAGGAGGATAGAATCTTACTCTATATTTGGTACCATAGTATCCCCAAATGAAATACTACTCAAGTGAGGAGCCTGTTGCAGAACGGGTGTAGGGCCGGTCAGGTTGCTGCAGCTTTCATGGACTGCGGTTAGAAAAACATGCTTGGCTCTACATACTGAAGCCGCTGGAACTTCGGTACTTGTAGGGCAGCATCCTTAGGGCCCTAGGATTGTGCAGGAATCTTGTCCCTTGAGGTATTCTGGTTCTTGCTGCTGTTACAGAGTTGGTCAACGTCCCTATTGTTACGCTGCCTGATGCGTCATCAAAGGATTCAACTGATACTTGCAAACATCTGCTGCGGTCCTTACAATACTGCCAATCTTATGAACCAAGAGCTAGTCTAGACCACTGATTCAGAACTGTGCCCCTAGCTAGTGGGGCTTACAGGTCGTTCTCAGGGCCCCTACACTAGGGTAGGTTTGGGGGCCCTATATAGATTCAATTCGTATGGCTTTGTAAGGTTAATATAGGGATTACAGGTAATAGAAATTTACGATTCGTGTTCGCTACCTAAACAGATTGGGAAACCCTAAACCCTTCACGCTCTCTGGCACAAGGGGTGGGTGGTTTGCATAAGGTCATTGGAGGGAAGCGCCTTATTCGCAGACACCTGAACCCCGAAGCCACACGCCCATTTCCCCAAACGTTTAGAGCAAAGGGTTTAGGCTTTGGGGATTGGGGTTTAGGGTTCTAGGGTATAGGAGTATAGGGTTGAGGGACCTACCCCTGGATGTTTGTGCCCACAGAGCTCTACAGCAGACCGATGATCCGCCACCACGCAGCACCTGAATGTCTGAGGTTAGGGGCAAGTCGTGGCAAAATAAAGCCCAAAGGGCACAAAGTACCCACGTTGCGTAACGTTGGGTAGTTGCAGGTCGAAATATATGCTGTTTGTCAAGTTGGACCCTTAAAGTACCAAGCCCGCCGATGGGAGCTCAGGTTCAGGGCTTCGAAGTAATAATAATGGGTTATATAGGGATAATGGAAAAGAAAATGGAAACTACTATAATGGGTAATATGGGTGGTTGTCACCAATCAACTTTCGGAGCCAGTAGAATGGAAATATGCACAGTACCCAGCCCTCCAATAGGATTTTGGCAGTTTCCCTAGCTAAAGGACCCCAATAAAACCCAGCAATACAATAATCCATATCATCGGGACCCCAGAAATGTATCCCTAACATTGGGAAATATCCATTTAGAGGTTGAGGATTCAAGATGTACTTGGAGGTGGATGGGACTTGCTAATCACCGGAAGCTGGGGATAGAGCTCTACATTAGAGGCCATGCAAGTGCATTGTAAGCAATTCACCTAAGTGTGACTAATTACCATGAATCTCCGATGTCTGTTGAATGCCAAGCTCCCATCTCTAAACGACTCACCCCCAGCAAGGACAAATTTTGTCTGATAGTCCTTGGTGTCTTGGGGTTACATGTCTTCTTCTCCGGAATACGGCAAACAGCAAAGCAGCTTATTGTTATGAACAAGTTGTCAAGCCCACGCTTGCTCGAATTCGGGTCGTTTAATCGATCTCAATCGATTGCTCATGTGATGCAATGTCAAGAAGATACCCATCATTGCTTGGAGGTTCTTGCCCCGACCCCTTGAACCTACATATCAATCCTAAAAGCCAAGAATGAAGTCAAGCTAGCACTCACAATCCGGACAGGGATATGACGTGACTATACTGGCAATTATAACTGCCGACCCTCAACGTCAACAATTTGGAGGCTAGCCAAAGGAAAGCCCTTCTGAGCTGCGGGCCGACACTTATCCAGAGAAGATAGTAGGCCAGCATGTAAACAAAGCCAGCCTTTCATACAAAAAAAGCTGGAGGAAGGCTAAGCCAATTGCAATGAAACGCTAGTAGACACGCGGAAACTTGCAATCATGCGAAGAGGGGAACACATCATTATACCTCTCGCTGCTGTGACAATGTTTTCGACTGACATCAAGACAAGTCATCACGACGATCGTGATGGCGATGATGATGATGATGATGTTGATGACGATGTTGATGATGATGATGATGATGATGATGATGCGCACCAAAGCGGCTAGCAGAAGCCTTGTACCACTCATTAGCCCGGATATACTGACCCGCGAAGATCACCGCTGATTGCGCAGACGCCTTGGTGGAATGGTCTCAACACGTCAGAGCTATATGAGCTATAGTCTACACTCCTACTATCCCCCTTAGTAACCCCTATAGTACTTCCCTATATAACCCCCTAAAGGAGTCTGGACTATAGCTCATCTGGGTAGCCCTCGAACTCAGCTAGACCTGGGTGTCCGGCATAGGGTGTCAATGTTGCAAACAGGTTGGAGGCGAAGGCGAGTGCAAAGAAAGCTGCATCTGGAGGAGTTCCAGTTTGCACCTGGGTCGGAGCATTTTAGGGTTTAGGGTTTAGGGGTTTAGGGTTTAGGGTCCCCAAGGATATATAGGAGTATAAAAGGGGTCGTATGGGGATCTCGGTTAGGGATGACACAAGATTTACATTCTGGCCTTTAGTTAAAGCAAAGAAGGAATGGATCTCTATAGTGGCCCCTCTATAACCCATTATAGTAATTTCCATTGTTTTTTCCATTCCTCCATTCCCAGCTAACCAAAGGCCAGCATTGAGAAAGTTCCCGCGCGAGTGTTGGCTGAGCCTTTGGCCAGCATCATAAGAAAGGGCTGGAAGAGCGCTGATACATGCGCCACCTCCACCATGGTTTAGGGTTACAGGGTTATAGGATTTAAGGTTATAGGGTTTAGGGTTTTAGGGTTTAGTGTTATAGGGTTTAAGGTTATAGGGTTTAGGGTTATAGGGTTTAGGCTTATAGGGTTTAGGGTTATAGGGTCATACCATGAATTTGAGGCATTGATGTCTCGATGCGGCAGCGTGTTGCAATTCAACATCTTCTTGGATCTCTTCAGAGATGCAACTTCGGCAAATCCTTAAGCTGGCATCATTAAAAAGGCGTTGTGAATTGTACCCTGCCACGCCCTGTCAACCCTATGAATCCCATAAACTCTACAAGCAGAACCCTACCCTAAACTCCCACCTGAGAGGCAAAGAGGTAATGGACACCCCAATACGCCGCAACGATGATGAGAAAGGCACTCACCTGCGTCAAGCTACTTGCCATAACCATAGAAGTTATATAAGGGCATAAGGTTATATAGCGCTGGGGACTATACGAGGTTCTGCTTCTGGCCCCGCAGAAGTGACGGGGTTCCAACAAAAAGGTGTGCCCGCTGAACCGTTCTGTGGGTATTCTGCAGAAGGCAAAACTGCGATCAAATGATGAAAAGCAAGCTCCAATGTAGAGGGGGTGGCAAGCTTGATTTCAATTTTGGTTAACCCTAAATCCTAAACCGTAAACCCTAACCACCCTAAACCCTGAACCCTAAACCACCCTAAACCCTAAACCCTAAGCCACCCTAAACCCTAAACCCTAAACCACCCTAAACCCTAAACCTTAGAATTTGGAGCCAAACCTGCCCTTCAGATCCCAGTCCAGGTCCGTAATCTATGGCTACCTCGGCCCTCGAAATCGAAAACATGCGAGCCAGAGTCTAGGGTTTAGGGTTTAGGGTTTATAATACTCCCCTATATAATACTATATAATCCCTTATTTAACTCCCTTGAGGATGTTTAGACAAGAACTCATGTACCTACTTTGGACCCCTGCGGCCTGCGTGAGGCCGGCTGCGGCGATCTGCCTGGTCACCACAGATGACGACCACCTGAACAAAACCAGATATGAGCGGTTTAGGGTTTGAGGTTTGGGGTCTAGGGTTTGGTTTTTAGGATTTTAGGGTTTGAGGTGTAGGGTTTGGGGTTTAGGACATATTAGGAAATCTGAAAGAAAAAGGTTTGGGGATTGGGGTTTAGGGTTTGGCTTGAGGGATTCGGATATATTAGGATATATTAAAGAAAAAGGAGAACCAAACAGTTAAACAGAGTCATAGACTCCTTGGATTAGGGTTTAGGGTCTAAACTCCTTCAAAGGGGGCTGTATAGGGGATTGCATAGGGGAGTACTATCTGGCTTACTAAAGGGGATACTAGGAATTCAGACTACAGCTCACATGGGGTTTCCTGGTATAGGGATTACAGAGGCAATATAAGGGGTTGTGTTAGGATGTAGGGATACTGCCCCAAAAATGGAAAATCAAGTGGAAAAACAAATGGCATTGTAGCTACCGCCGTGATACGGGAAATCGAATAGGGTACATCTCATCGCTGTTGCTCATATAAGAGTTCGTGACCACCATATACACCATGACCCTAAACTCCAAGCCACCCGTTTCGGAGTCCGCAGAATAAGGATTGTAGTAACGTGGGGCATAAATTAGAAGACGGGGTACGTACCCCTAAACCCAAGGAGAGGCGTGCGAGATGTGCTCAAGCATAGACACTACTAATAATAAGAATAGCAATACTAATGGTAGTAGTAACAGCAGTAGTAATAGTAATAGTAATAGTAATAATACGAATAGCATTAATAGTAGTAAACAATAATGTCTTTAAAGGCTGGGTCTTCTTGGGGCTTGCATGCGAATCAGAAGCTCTAGAAAGTCCTACTTACAGGGATGCTGCAGGGCCTCTGGAAATTAGCCTTTGAAAGCTAGGGTTTAGGGTTTAGGGTTAACAGTATCCCAGTACTTCGGCGGATTTGGGCGAGTTGGAAAAGGTCTCAATTGCTCAAACATACCCAGGTGGCGATTTGCTGCAGCAGGGGACACCCAAAAAGCTCCATGAGTCTTACTATAATTTGCCTCCGAAAGTCCTTATTCAAAGGACTGCGATAATGTTTCCCGCAATTTGGAAACTCCTTACATGAGCCATAGTCTAAACTGTGAACTCCTAGTATCCCCCTTGGTAACCGATAACCCCTTGAATAGGAATCTTATATAGTACCCTATAGACCCCCCTTAAAGGATTTAAGACCCTAAACCCTAAAGCCTACATAACCCCCTTTAAGGATTTTAGGCTACCGCTCACATAGAACCAAGGGCGAGGCTCCACGATGCCCAAGATCTTCAGCATCTCTGCCAGACCTTCACAAACAGGGTTCACTTGGAGGATCTTTTGACTTAGTAAGTCTACCTACTGTCCCTGATAACCCCTATTTTAAGCCCTTTTACCCAAGTTACTTAGTAGACTTACGAAGTCAAGGGATCGTCCAAGTAGGGTCTAGGAACGGGAGCTTCTTTGGAGAATGAGATGGAAACTGGGGTTATGGAGAGGCAATCTGGGATTTATTTTCGGTGGTAAGAGGATCTTGTTTACCCTAGGATCCGTTGATTCTCATATGACTCCTAGAAGGTCATTACACAGCATCTATATTCTAGTAAATCATATACTGACACTCGATTGGGAAACCCTAAATCTTAAACCCTAAAACCGAGGAGGAGGTTGAGGGGATGGCAACTATTGGCAGCTGCTTGAAAGGCCATGCAGGGTCTGGTCTCTGAGTGCAAGTACAACCACAGGTGCAGAATTACTACCCTAAACCCTAAACCCTAGATTCCCTCTCCACTTCAGCTTAAGGACCAACAACTAGGACTAGGTGCCCCAGTAACCCCTAAATAATGAAGGTACTCTTTTTCCCACTGTTCAGCTTTCATAAGGAGACCTCAAAATAAAAAGGGAAAAGGGTACTACTTGGGTACCTAGGTAACAGCATGTACATAAGCGCTAAACCCAAAGCCTTTCATCCTAAGCCCTTTTAAGGCTCAGGCCAACCAAGGTGGCAAACGAAATGAGCGTGCTCCACGCAGCCTTGTTGCTTGCACAGTCCTCGCCAGCCAAAATCGTACTAGTGGTTAGTATGGAATAAGGGACTATTTAGGGCTTAGGATTTAGAGTTAGTAGGGAATAAAGGAATACAATGTAAGCGGAATATAGGGGCAATCTAAGGATGATGGACAAGAAAATGGAAACGACTACATTATGACAGGGTGTATTTTGGGCTTATAGTAGGAGAGAAAGGAATTTAATCCCTACATAATATATTCTCTTATTCCCTTCTAATCCCCCGTAAGAAAATGATATCCGACTCAAATCCAGAAACTTGAGCTTAAGCAAATTCATCTCGTCCTGCAAAAATCACCTAGCTACAGTCTTTCAATATCGCGCCCTGCAGGCATTTTCAGCCAGACCCTGAATGAACCTCAGGATTCAACAAAGGAATTTCATTCAGATTCTGAGTGGCTCTCTGCTGGATTACTTAGAGTAGCTTACTGGGGGTTAGTAAAGAATAGTGAAACGTATTCTTCAGCGAATTTATTCCCTTATTCCCTACTAACAAAAGTAACGGATGAGCGGCGCCCCTCGATAATGACATCTCCACTATAACGTTGCTATAGCTGATGTCGTCAGGACGTCTGGACTTAAGATTGATGTTGATAGCTTCTCCAAACTTGGGTGGCAATTTCCCATGTCAGAGTTGTACGTACGCATGCTTTGAGGGAATGGGGGAATGAATCCCTAGTAGTCCCCTGTAGGTAACAATGCTATACTTTCACCCCCCTTCCCAACTAGGCTGAGTAAGTACGGTCTCCCGTGCCTTCCTTGCGATGAAGAATTGGTGTAGGCCAACGCAGCAAGGTCATATGTAGCAACTTCAGAGGAAAGGCATACCCTGCCACTGGGCCCATGCCAGTGTGACCGCGCGAGAACATCCCTGAGACTGATTCCATTATAATCTCCATTTCGTCTCCATTATCCCTAATCAGCCCGTGTAGCCCCATATAACCCCACATCATATAATGCCATTTACCCCTGTATAATATACGAGAGCAAGTCAGCTTACAACTTCTGGTTCTCCTTTGACCCTCCAGGCAGCAACCAACGATTTAAGGACGGCTACCCGAGAGCTGCTATGTAGTTTCTTTTTACGTTTGCGATAGGGTTTGGGGCTTGCTATGGCTGTTTAGGAAAAGATTACAATACAGCACCCCGAAAAGAACAAGATTCCGGGTAGCTTTCTAGACCATGCCCCTACACTGCAAACAGGTCCGACGGACTGACCCTGAATCCGACAGAACCCACTGCCTCATCCCAAACGGCCCAAAGCCTGGTTGAAATCCCGCTCAGGGGCTTGGGGTTTAGGGTTTAGGGCCCTGACACCATGCCAGTGCCACTAGGCCCTGCCACAATCTCGTTTCAGTCCTCCAGGTCCATGTAACTCTGAATCCTATTGGGGTTTAAGGCTTAGGGTCTAGGGGTGTCAATGAAAATCCTGCATGACCTCAATTAGACAATACCCAACCTAGATCCCACACCCTGAACCTCGAACCCCAAACCCTGAAAGCCCTGAATCCTGTAGCCCAAAACTGAAGCTCTAAACATTGAAAATCCAACGCCCTAAATCCCAAATCCTAAGCTCTGAACCCTAAACACTTTATCCTAAATCCTACACCCTTGAAACCCAAAATTCTCTAGGGGCGGGGGCAGTCCTCCCAGGTCAGCACGCCCGTGAGCAAAAGCCCGGCAAAGCCGCAAAGAGCGGTAACCACTGGTGGGATGTGAAGCAAAGACGTTGTGGCCCAAAGGCCCACCATACCTAAGGCCCTTTACTTGCTGGTGCTTAGTAAGCAAACAGGGAATACAATCCCTATTGCCTTATTCTCTCCTAGCCCCCAGCAAGTTTAAAGGGTTTATTGGGCGCGTAGAAGGCTTAATGCTTGGGAGTTAGGGCTATGGTGATGGATCTAAGGATACAGGATCAAAGGCTCACCATACCCGTGGAATAGTACTACTCAGGAATAAAGGGGGGTCCAGGGTTAAGCGTGTTGTGGCTTTGTGTTAAAGCGCCGCCATATCAGTGTGCGACTTTGGGCGTGAAAATGAGCATCGCAATTCCTACTATTGCATCTTGTAAGTTGTCAGCTGTAGCTGTCACTGCTACTATCATCACTGTCATTGTTCTCATCATGTTTATGATTATAGAGGCCTGACCATATAACGCCCCTTGCAAGGAAGCGAGGCCCTCCGTCCCACCCGTATCTTTGAATCGAGACTTGCTGAGACATGCTGCTACCATTCACAGGCATCCCAACGAACTGTTGAATCTTTGTTGCCGCCCGTCGGCTATGGTTCAGAAGTGGACACCAGCTATTGCCAGCCCTTCACAACATCGCCTACCATCGCGCTCTGCATACCACATTTTACCCTAGTCATCGCAGCGCCCCTCAAACCTTGGGGCTCTAAGTCTACACATAATACTTACATTGGGCCCCAAACCCTATAAATAGTACCTACATGGAGCCTTAGGGTAAAGCTCAGCAGCTCAAATCGAACCGGGACACACATCATCACCGCACCGAAGATCTTCTCATCATCGGAGACCGGCCCCATGGAAGACAGCTGCTCACGAGCAGCCTTGTCGAGGGCTTGTGTGAGAGGTGGCTTAAGCTTGGACTTCATCACTCAAGTATGCAGATCGTCTAGTCCGAAGGGTTTCATCTGGATTGTAAAAATGTTAAGCAGAAAAGTCTCCGGAAACCAGGGGTACCTTTGTAGCGGTCCTTACGTAGGGAGCCGAGGCACCTTGAGTTACACTGTGTGGATGCCCTTGCTCATATCTCAAAAAAGCTCACAAGATGTCCGTTCAAATACATCCTGAAGTCAACAGCACTCCAGTTGTGGCAGCCGCTGTCTGCACTGGATCCTTGGTAAGGAAAGGTTTCAAGCTCATGCGAGACGTGGTTAAGCAAGAGTACTGGTACTCCTGCGTAGACACAAAAGGGACTGGGATGGGCTGAAAAAAACAGCTCCTTATATACGCCCATAATAACCCCAAGCATACACCCTATGTCCCTACTGCTTTTTGCGCCAAAGCATCTGAGTTTAGTCCACCAGACTATCTAATTGTTTCCATGATCTTCCCCTTTCACTCAAAGGACAGGAACATAAAACTATGATACAGGAGGTTTCGCTTTCGTTTTGGCTAAATCATACTTAGTTATTGACTTCGGCACCACGCCCAGTCAAGCTTTACAAGTCCTGCTACAAGTATTCGCCTTCACGTACGATACTTTGTTGACATTAGGACGTGCCCAAATAACAGATTCGCCTAGGACCTCGGGGGGCATAGAGCCGAGAAACAACCTCTGTGGGGATTCTTAACAAGGGGCCCTTAGGGACCCAAGGGGTATACACAGATCACTACAAGGTTTTGGGTATCCCTACTAAGGCTTTAACGAACGAAGAAAAGATAGGCGGCACATTCCTAATGTGACTCTCCCAGTCAGCTAAGTACTACTCTCCCCTAAAACCCTTATCGCCGGCCTTTGGTGCGTCCGGGGTCATCCTTGACTCTGGCGGCATCAAGCGCAGAGCAATCATCGGCGTTGCAAGGAAAGACACAAGGGCCTGGCCAAAAGAGAACGACCAGCATCATGTTGAGAGGGTTGATACAAATATTCTGATGAAGTCAATGGGCCCATGATAGTTAGGGTTTAGGGTTTAAGGTCTAGGGCAGAGGCTGCCCATCTTTGAAGAAGCGTTCAGGGACTATGGCCGAATTGTGGTGCCCTCAACAAATACTCATGGAAAAAATCATGCCCAATCTACCATGGTCCTTGTAGCTTGCATATTCTGTTACCCTAAACCCTAAACCCTAAATGAAAGACTCCTCAAACCCTCAACCCTCATCCGCATTAGGCTACCGCTTCAAACCGAGGCCCAGGGTTGCCTGAAGGTTCAGGGTTGAAACAGGCTCCTCACCCAATGTGACTTGGGCTTAGGGTTTAGGGATGTAGGGTTTAGGGATTTAGGGTTTAGGGTTCAGGGTCTAGGGTCTAGGGGTTTAGGGTCTAGGGTTTAGGGGTTAGTAATCCCCTTGTTCCCTACTACGCACCCGTGAGTTGAACAGGTCTTAGCCTTCCGGGATCCCCCTACCAGGGGGTTTCCCAAGATTAGGGGTGCCATTTTGGGGGGACCTTAGTAGCGATTGTAGTATTCTTGCAAATTATGTTGGGTCCCCTTACTGAGCGAAACTACCACTATGGAACCCGATATAGGCCTTTATGGGGGACAGAAGTCTATGTCGAGCCTTCTTAAGGGCTCCATGTTGGTTTGGGGGAAGGCAATCCCTGTAAAACTTGAACCCTGAACCCCAAACCCTAAATAAACCATTATGGTAGTTTCTATTTTCAATCCCTGCATGACTTGAAGAATAACTGCTAGGAGAGCCTTGGGGTTGGCTTTGATCCTGATGCGACCCTCAACCCCAAAGTTGCAAGCACTTGGGACTAAAAAAAAATGTAGGGTTTAGGGTGCAGGGTTGTGCCCCAAACCCCTGAAACCCTACCCTCCGCGCATCTAGCCCTGCGTCAAAAGGACAGTAATCTCTGTAGCTTGAGAGAATGTAAATTCAACACAGTGTGAAGCGACTTGACGGTCCCTCATGTGACCTTCTTGGAAGTTCAAGGTTTCTAGCCCGATTTCCCGGCATGCCCATATTGGGGGGCTTAGAGGGCCCCTAGCTGGGTCATTGCCCTAAACCCTAAACCCTAAACCTCCAAGTTCTCCGCTTCGCAAATCTTGCAATCCACGCTGCCGGAGCAAGCGCTGCTCTGAACCAGCTCTGGAAAGGATGTTCAATTTCCACTCCCACCTCGCGAGTCTTCTGGGTTGCTGTTAAGCCCCAGACCCCCAAAAGGATCTAAAAATTAGATCCCCGAGAACCATAGGGGAAATTATATAAGGATTATATAGGGGTTATAATGGGTCTATATAGGGGATCTATTTTTTAGATCCTCCCAGGGGTCTGGGTAGGACCTTAATTTAAGGTACTATAGTGGGGGAACCCATATTAGTGACTGTACATTTATGCATCATGGTAGCTGATTTTGACAGAAACCCAGGTCTTTCCAAGGCTTCTGAAGGACCTGAACCCCCAAAGTATGTAGAATAATGGCCTCTTGGGCTATGTTTTGGTGTTTTGGCGGGCTATTATTTTACCTACTTTTGGGGGTTAAGGGATAGCAGGATTTTACACAGCGAGTCTGTAGTTGCAGTTTCAGGGTTTGCTTACCCTACAGGCATGTCCTTGGTTTGAATCCCTGTCGACAAAGACCCCATGATTCGAGACGACCTTTGCAGAAATATGTCGCGGAAGGAGCGAATAGTGTGTAACCATGATCCCATATTTTCCCTCCGTGTAACTATGGACATCCAGTTTTCGATAAACAGCCACGTCCAATTACTAAGACGTTCCCATCTCCCAAACTGCCAATCACAAGGAAGTATGCAAGACAATTTGGTAGCTCAGAATAGAACCGGGCGCAAAAAGACTTCCCCCGCTTGGACAACTCTGATGGAGCGGCCACCTCCTCTGCCAGTTTCAGCACAAAGTAGTTCTGCGCTGCACCGGTCAGGAACATGCATGAAGAAGTTGCCGTTGCCTGGAAAGCAGCCATTCGGTAGCTCTCCAAAGCACAAAGTATTGAAGCTATATTAGCCATAGTCTAAACTCCTAGTATACCCTTGGTAACTTCTACAGTACTCCCCTATATCACTCCCCTTTAAGGAGCTTAGCCTCTAGTTCATATCATGAAGCGCAGGTGCCCTAATACTCCAGACAGCCATGATTTTCCGGCACTCCCTTATCTGTAAACACCTTTGCTATGCAGGGACACCTGCACAAGGGCATGGAATTCTCTCCGTGGTGTCGCCGCAGATTGCTTCCTCCTACCCTTAGCTTCAACCACTCCACACCCTAAACCCTAAACCTTAACAGAGCTGGAACTTGTGGACTTCTTGGATAGCATCTTCTCTGAAAGGAGGATGTAGGCATGACAGGCCCAGTTCTAGTATGGAACTGTTCCGGAGCCACGCGGTTGAGGGTCAAGTGTGTAAGGACCCTGCAATAGGTTGATTTAGGGTTCAGGGCTTCGGGTGCAAGTTGATGTATGTTGTGCCGCAAGAAACAATGGGTCCTTCAGGGGCTTCTGGCTACCTAAAACCAAACTTACTGCTCGTATGTTCCTGAGTACCAGTGGCGCTTGCAGAACCTGTATCCCTAAGCGTGATAATATATACCTTAAACCCCAAACCCTGAATACCCTAAAGCCTAAAATGCCCTGGATCCTAATCCCTAATCTGTGGCCGAAGATCCCGCCTGGTAGCAGCACTCCACAAGGAACTTGCCACACTTGGACTCCGTTCCCTGGAAGCGCCATAAGATCAGAGGGGGGGGGTTTAGGGTTTAGGGTTTAAGGTTTTTAGGGTCTAGGGTTTTTAGGGATTAGGATTTTTAGGGTTTGGGGTTTTTAGGGTTTAGAATAGAAAGAATGCAGGAGATTCCCCCCTAGAAAGCCCTAAAATCATCAAGAACAAGAGTTTTTAGGATTTGGGGCTTAGGGTTCAATAGAGTGGGTATGTCGTAGGAAGACAAGGCAACTGTCTTTCCTCATCTAAACCCTGAACCCACACTTACGACAGTCTTGAGGCATTGGTTCCTTTGGGGCGAAGAAGTGCGGCCTTGTCAGTTTTGGGGAACTATGCGCAAGAACCCCAAAACCAGATCAAGGCAAGCCACGCTAATAGGAATCCCCAACCATATGTTGTTTCCATATCATGTCGAGATTCTCCATCATCCCTATAATGTTGTTTAGCGGATTATATGAAACTAAATCTGAAAAACTACAGAATTGCCCTACAATCCGCCCGCAAATTCCGAACCCGAAAGCCCGAACAACCCTCAGCCCTAGCGTATCCTACCTAAACGCTAAACCCTGAACCCCAAATCCCTAATCCCTATAAACCAAACAAATCCTAAACCCTAAACCCTAAATCCTAAATCCTGAATCCTAAACCCTAAACCCTACACCCTAAACCCTAAATCCTAAACCCTAAACCCCTCAATTCCTGATACCGGCTCAGCCTGGAGAGGATCTGATCCGCTGGCTTTGCACACCTCGCACACTTGGAGCCCTTTGTTGGGTTTTATGCGTTTAGGGTTTAGGGTTTAGGATTTAGGGTTTAGGATTTAGGGTTTAGGGTAGGGGGTTTAGGGTTTTATGCGTAGACCCGTGATTAATAAACCCCCGCCTTTTAAGGGCCTTGTACGGATAATATAGTAGTATAAGGGGGAATATATAGTTCAGGATTTAGTGTCTAGGTGGGGCTTTCCCCAAATTGAGGGTTCTTTTTTTTGGGGGTCCTTCTAACAAGCATTATAGGATTTGGGGGTCTATATTGGGATCCCCCAATTTTGGGAAGCTACCATGTAGAGTTCAAGGTTTTCACGGCAGACTGTCAACTGAATAGATCCAGATTGCCTGTCATGCTTTCTTGCACTAAGCCCTGAACCCTTGAACTAACCCTAAAGAAAAATCTACCTGGATTGGATAGCGCGGTGAACCCAAGCTCTCCAGGATATCACTTGCCAACACCCGGGCGTTTTTGACAACAAGGCTTCTTGTCACTCTCAGAGTAAGGTCTTGAAAGGAGGACCACGCAAAATGGAACCGACTGACAGTACCAGTAATTATATTAATGCTGGTAATAAAAGTAGTCATACTAACAGTAATAGTAGTAGTGATCGCAATAAAAATCAGGATAATAGAATAAATAGCACGATGCATCCTGACATCCAAGCACATGACGGATTGTGTAATCGGGTAGAACACCGCAGCGGCCTCAGGCATCTGTCAGGGTGAGATGGACTGAATGGTTCAGGGGTAATGTTTGATGCATAGCTCTAAGGAGACTCCAGGCAGCAGCACGATCTAGAGCTTCGGGTTTAACATTTCGCCGTGTGCTATGTGTCCTGTGTCCTCTGCTTCCCTTTGGGGGGAGGTGCGGTGCTTCTATGTCTATCCTTGTAATAAGTAGTACAAACCTCCTTGTAATTACGTGCCCTGTGGCAAACAGACCTCACATGGTGCCTTGGCCCTTGTAGTACACATAACTACGTCCATACTTCACTTTCCTCCTATGAATACTACACTATTCCTGGCCTACTAGTTATCTGCAAGATCGAAGCCCAACTGCAGCACAGGGGGGTGGAGAGGGGTGGGTGGGTTTGTGGGTGCGTGGGGGCACCACTTCGAGACATTCGCATTGGGTTCCCCTCATGCGCCCCCAATACTAAAACCCTTTCTTGCCAAAACTTCCAGTAAAGAGATGCAAAGTGTTTGGAAGGCACCCTATCTGGTCTGGACCATCTACAAGGAGCTTTGGAAAGCATGATTAATTGAAAAACAACTTAGGTCTGCGGTTATCTGTGTGCACACTACACGCGAAAACATCTTGGAAAGCCTAACAAGCCTTCCACTCCAAAGTAAACGAAGAAGACCATCTGTTTAGACCCCCGCATTTGTAGCACCCCCTCTAATGCAGAATATATACCCTTTTACAATATAGTAGCTTCCATCTTCTTTTCCATTATCCCCATGTAACCCCAATATACCCTAGATCTAGAAATGCTGCTGAGTCTGAAAAAGGTGCTGGTTCTGGGCAAGCCTTGCAAAAACATGGGGCGTGTTGTTGGGAAGCATGCCAGACCAGCAACCAACACAACAGTTTCCATCAGGGACCCAGGTCCTCCTGAAGAATGCAGCTTCTGCATATCTATCCAAAGGTCTGGGGCTCCGGCGCGCGCCGCCGAACAGGGCATAGCAGCCGCAACTAGCAGCTCCACAAAATTCAGGCCGTAGGCCACGCCCAATCTGGGCTTACACACGGGGTTAGGTATGGAAAGATTCCGGAAAGTCTTGAGAAACTCTGGCTTTTCTGAAGTTCAGGTGTAGTGGGTTACAGTGCAGGCGGTGCCACAAGAGAATTTGATCCCAACCCTGAACCCTAAACTCCTGGGACACCTCTGCACATGCTGTTTTCGCCAGGTGGGTTTGAAGGAAGCACCTGTTTGAGGTTCCGTAGAATCCGCAGTTGTGGGGTCCCTTCCAATTCAGAGCCACTAGGGCAAACAGCCTCTAATCTACCATAGGCTTATCACTCACACTATCGTCAGACCTTATGCTCCTTATGGAGCCCACAAAACCCCTCTCCTACCTGTGTCTGGGTACATAGTTATATATATATATATCTGCCCGCTCATGTACTCACCAAATGCCATAATGGAACCCTACTTCAATTCCCCCTTAGGCTAGCGCGTCGTGCCGCCAACCGCTGAGATGACATTCAGAGCTATGCGATCACCCAGTCCCGTCCTTCAGCGGATCAGCATAGGGTCTTGGGTCATTCAACTATAATTCGCTACCACAGTCATCTAGGAGCATAACAGGCTGAACAGGCCCCAGGCTTCTACAGTACGCTTGGATGTTTTTTTTTGCTTCGCTTGATAAGCCACTGTGTAAGCGGGACGGCAAGAAACGCTTACAGCGATTATTAGCAGGGCCTCCTTCAAAGGATCATGGCCCTCACTTGCAAAGGTTCATGCCCCAAATGACTATAAATCCGATGCAGTAAGCTATGTATGTGGGGTTCCAGAATTCCCAAAACCACTGGCAAATGTCTGTAGAATACTGTAGAGGTTCAATCATCCCACCCTACTCCGCCGTAAAATGCAATCATCCACCGCCTGATCACGAAAGTATGTATATATGCATGCAGAGATATACGTATGAGATATTCCAGAGAGGACACTCTTGCCTAATAATTAGGGGGGTAAATTCATTATTCGGGGGTGGGGTGTAGTATTAGGGTGAGGTGAGTGTCCCTAAATCCATAGAACACCACAACCAAAACCCTAGAAACCTAAACCCTAACCTAAAGCCTACTCAAGAGGCTCGGGCAGTCTTGAGCACCAAAGCGGTCCCAGCTGAATGAGCATGAGAGGAGCAAGTCAAAGGCTTTATATGAGATATATATAGGGATACTAAGGGTTATTAGGGTTTAGGGTTTAGGGTTATATAGGGGATATCTACGGATTTTAAGGGATTAGGATATACCTGGGGGAAGCAATGTTCCTAGAACAAAAGGCAGTTGTACCTCATATTTTGGTCTCTTTACTTTTTTTCGGTGTAGGTTACTAATAGGGATTTGTACCTAATGCTTTGGTATCCTTACCGTTTCTAAAGTCTAGGTTGCTTTAGGTATGTGCTACTTTCCGAAAATTAGGGTCCTCCCTGTATCCACACGGTATAGTACAATTCCCACAACAAGGGGCCGCACAAAGGAATAAGTTTCCCGCTTACAAATCCGAATTTCGGAAATTTCCAACCAACACAGGCAGAAGAAGAAACGTGAAGAACACAACCCGTAATTTTCACAACATCCATGCGTTACCGCGATATCTGCTCACAGGAGCTTGGCCAAATACTGAATCTTGAGAAGGGTACTGATGGAAAGCACCGGCCACCAGTCATGTATTGAACATCATCTGTACATCTTTACAAGAACTGTTCTGTACTAATGGGGACCTAATCTGATCCCTAGATCCTAAACCCTGAAACCATGACCTATAGCCCTGTCGTTGCTGAGAATGTTCGCGGTCTTGAGGAGATGGTTCGGGCTTAAGGCTTAGGGCTCACATAGATGCACAGAAAGAGCGCCTATGGCAGAATCATGGAGAAAGCAAAGGGATCATGTCAGCCTACCGGTTAAGCCCATCTTCACGATATAAGGGTTATATAGGGATAATGGAAAAGAACATGACAACTACGATATTATTATCGGGGTAAATGGGTGGGGGGGGGGTAATATAAGGGTATATTATCATCTAAACGCACAATTTGCCCAAACCTTCTTCCAATAGATGGCAGCTGAACCTCCCACCGCATGATCCTTCTCTCAACCCACGGTTCCCCTCATTTGGCGATCATCAGTGGCGGCATTGCTAATACGTGCTTAATACGTGCTTGGTGAAGCTATTTGTGGTCCTGCCGGTCTTCTGTAGGGGGGGAGGGGGGGTCCACTGGATATACCCCAAAATGCTATCCTTCTTGAAGGGATCCACAAGAAGGAGCCCCGAGTCTCTCCCACATTGCTGCTTGCGTTGGACACGTTCCTCTCTGCCCAGGGCCCGGACTTGTGGAAGCCCTGGGCAAAAAAGAAGGCTATGACCACCAGCCAAACGACCTGTCTCATGTTGAATTTGGGATTTGGGGGCTTCCCAAAATTAGGCCCCCATAGTAAGGATTCTAGTATATTGTGTGGTCTATATTGGAGTCCCCCTGTTTTGGGAAACTACCATTTGGGGTTTAGGGTTTAGGCACTAGAAGAAGCTAGGAGGGGAGGTCCTACTAATTGGGTCTAGGGGGATCTGTGCATGGGCCCCCTATGGGGTCTACCAGGGTTGCGATCTCTGGGGACAATATGCAAAATCCAAGCTCTAGAGCCTAGGAACCAGGAAGCTCTGAGGGAAAGGTTAAGGGATTGTGCATCTTCTTGACAAGCTTCCGGATTCCTTGTATATGAGTGGCCTAAACATTCGGAACCCTACTCTGTCGTTTTGGACCCTGCAGACTTAGAGTCATACTGCGCAAGAAACCCGTCTTCTTAGTCAGCTTCCTACCTGGAGGGGTTGCAAAAAAGGGGTCCCTTTCGGGCATCCACATCATGAGGCTTATGGTAGTTACATGTAACCGGTATGGTATATCGGGATCTTTTTGGGGGGCTAATGTGTTACAGCAACTGCACTGACTCGCCTCATCCGTGAAGGCCTTCAGGCCCTGTGCCAACGTGACTGTGCCGGTCACGACCTGTGCGGTAGCGCTCGAAGTGCTGATGTCCTTGACTGACCCTGAGTTCTCCTCTTGCTTGCCTTGCTGTAATTCTCATCACCTGCAACTACTACCACTGGACCCTAAACCATGTGGCACCAAACCGGGACGACTGAATGCAGAGCGGTATAAACTTAAGAGTCCAGGTACTAAATTGAAGAACACAACTTGGGCCCTGCCCAGATGGGTTCCTACGTAGCTACAGTAGCCTAAATAGTAGTTTCCCAAAATAAGGGAACTCCAATAGAGACCCCCAAAAATACTATAGTCCTTGTTATAGGGACCCCCAGAATGGTACCCCTAATTTTGGGAAACCCTTAAATCATCTCTTCGTCGGCTCTTTAAGGCCTTTAGGGTGAACCCATCCCCAGGGCCGCGGCGGCAGTAGAAACGGCCGCGAGTGTCACAGCTGCTGGCGGCATGGGCCCAGCAACCTCGCGCACAATATGTAGGGTTTAGGGTTTAGGGTTTAATTCATAGGACTTGGTAGCTACTGATAATGGGGTTATATACCCGGACTTCTACTTCGGGAAACCTGCATAAGGACAGTGACGTGACAATAAACGTGCAGACTCAGAGAACCTACATAAGGTCAGCCGTACATGTGTTTTGCAGGCTGTTTGGGGAGGTCAGAAAGAATTGGGGAGAACGGAGATTCTCAAATCGGCTACAGGGGGCTTTAGGGTTTAGGATTAGGTATACTTTCGAAAGGGTGCCAAATCATTTAAGAGCCCCTGCTTTTTCAAATGCCCCTCACAAGGTGTAGAAGGGCTAAACGACTGAAACCTACACACTAAACCTGCTTCAGCGAAAACCCTAAACCCTAAACCAGTCTAAACTCCTAGCATCCCCTTAAGAACCCCTATGATCGTCCCCCTTATGATCGCGTATATAAGCCCCTGGAAGGAGTTTAGACTGTAGCTTACATTACAGCACAGCAGCCTGAGTTCGAGACTTTAGGGTTTGAGGGTTTAGGGTTTAGGGCATTAGGCATTAGGGTTTAGGGTATTTGGGTTTAGGGTTGGGTCTATGAATGCCAGTTGAAGATCTAATCATTCCTCCTGCCGCTCTTGGATTCACGGGCTAAACGCTAAACCCTAAGGACAAGGAGCCGTCCGCTTGTTTGGACCAGTTTTCGTTTCGGGCACGTGAAGATGTAATTTTTAAAGAAATCCGTGCGAGAGTTTTTCGAGATTCTTAATCCCGTTTCGGGAGTACTTACAAAGCGGGCGGCTTAAATCTTGCACGCACAAAAACACTCATGCAGCAGATAGTCACATAGTCCAAAACGTATAACTAGACGGGAAGGCCATCCCGTTCCCATCACTCCATGTAGCTTTCTGACTTACTGGGACAGTGGGGAATAGGGGAAGATAGGGGTTATATGGGGATCTCATTCCCCTATTCCTCAAGAACCACCAGCATCCAGATTTTGGGAACTTCTGCCGAAACGCCACGCGGCAAGCCTTAGACCCTCATTTTGGAGATTGGGGGTTTCGGGCTTAAGGGTTCTGAAGCCCCGCAGAAACATGGAAGCTGGAATGGATACTACTGCGGCTCAAATAGGTTCTATACACCCAAGATACGGGACAACAAAATTCCCCCTGTTCTGCTTGTTTAGTAGGCCCCCTTCAATATGTTAGGGCCCTTGGAGTAAGTCCAGCTTGGGACCCAGCCACTCCGACGATCATCGCCACGAAAATGGCCAACATTGACCACGCCTGGATGCAATGCAGAGACATAGCCTATTGGGGTCCGATGTCAGTAGCGTTTTTTGTGTTTGGACTAAATGAGATCAAGTTCCTCTTATACAATGCAATCGAAAAGGAGGGCGCGATCTTACTCTATATTGGGGGCTATGGTAAGCTTGAAGTACGACTCATATGGCGTTGAGGGTTTATGAGGAACAAGAATGCTGACGTCGAGGGTTGGT